ACTCGAGAATATAACCGGTAGACGAATCCGGAGCGATCGCGCTCACGTCAAAATTCGCAACGTCTTCGACCCATCGAAACTCGGCGTACGGTAATGGTTGACACATCGCCCATCCGTACAGATTATTCACGTCGTAGTACATAAGGTACGACGAAGGTTTCGATGGGTCGTACGAACGCATGTATTTGTTATTAGCCTGTGCGTATCTGTCGGAACATTGACTGAGGCCACCGCGTATGCCGCGCTCGATGAACATGATCATATCGATGTCGGTGAGCAATTCGAATCTTACGCGCGTATGTTTCAGCATAGCGTCCCACGTGAAACCTGGCAGTGTATAATAATGCGCGGGATCGAGGTCGTAACTCGCGACGCAACTATTTCGGAAATTTTCGAAAATGTCGGCTAATAATAAAACGTCGGTTTTCAAGTACAGATCGCTGTACATTCGGATGGAGAATCGCTTCCATACGTTCAAGGCGTGAGCGTAATCGCTCTCGGATACTGTATCGCCCGTCAATGAACTGTAAAATGATTCGCGCGGTGGTAAGCGCGTGTCGTGCAATTTGTCAACGCAGTCAACGTACTCGTACGGAAAGATATATCTTTACGATTTACAGCAAATCAAACTCTTCGTCCGACAACGTTGAAAGTTCGGAACGTACAATTTTTAATTTATCCTTCTCGAGATACGACGCTAATTTTTCTAAACTTGATGCGAGAAATTTGAAGGAATCGATAAATCGTAATTTTACACAATTTTTCTGAAAATTATTTGTATTTTGGCCTTTTGTGCTATCGACATGTTTAGTGAATGAAATATATTTTTCTTTCGTTATCGGAAGGAGTTCTACATGTCCGTCGTACGCGGTAGCGATTTCTTTAATTATAAAGTGCGCGTCGTACCCCGACATGTTGTGAAATACAACCGGAATAGTATATGAATTTTTATAATTTATTTATAGATTACAGTTTGCATGTGCCGGACCGCGGTATCTCCCGGTTAAGTGGCAATGGTCGCGGACCCGTGTATCG